GTGGAACACATGTAGGATTCTCACTCATGTGGAACAGATGTAAGATCCTCACTCACATGCAACATCTGCAAGTCTATTACCCATAGAAAAGATACACGCTAATCACACATGATCACGGAATCAAGTGGGGCTGCCACTTGATCCTGTACACTCACTCCCCCGACTTCAAAGATGACAGATGCTGGGGCAACGTGCTATAATTTATAGTATGATAAAGCAGGTAAAATACGTATTTTGTTTTACATATAATACTAGAAGAGTTACTCGGTGGTGCCCGGGGACAGTCTATCTCTGATCCCATACCCCTTCCCTTTCCACCCCCTTGTTTTCCCCTTCCTTTCCACTTTTACCCTCTTCCCAATCTTTCCTAACCCCTTCTATCCCATTTTTTATCCTCTTCCCTCTTATTTCCTACATCTCTCACCCCTCCCTCTCTCTCTCTCTTCCCTCTAACCTCGTATAGACATCTCTTCTTTCCCCTTCTCCGTCTCTCTGCTTCCTTCCCTCTAACCCTTTTTCCCAATAATTTTTTTTCTCCCCTTGACTCCCTCGTCCTCGACCTGTTCGATTCCTTTATGTGTTTTACTTTTGGTTTTATGTTAAAAACTAAAGTAGAAAATAGGCAATTTTTAAATTTTAACCAAATTAAATAGCTATCTAACCTAAATTATTATATAATATTTTGAATATAATATATATGGGGTGGATGATTTACTCACCACCACCCATCACATAACTCAAAGTTATGTGATGGGTGGTGGTGAGGGGGTGGTGTTGGTAGCCGTTGTGAAGGGGGTGGGGGTAGCGGTAGGTGGTATGAAACACCACGGTGGTGGTGGTGGAGGTGTTGTTGGTGGTGGTGGTGATGGTGGAGGTGGTGTTGTTGTTGGTGGTGGTGCTGGTGATGGTGATGAAGGTGGTGGTGATGGTGGTAGTGGTGATGGAGGGGGTGGTGATAATGGTGGTGATGGTGGTGGTGGGGGTGGTGGTGGTGATGAAGGTGGTTGTGGTGATAGGGTGGGGTGGTTGTGGTGATAGGGTAGGGTGGTGATGGTGGTGGTGATAATGGTGGTAGTGGTGATAGAGGTGGTAGTGGTGATGGTGGTGGTGATGATGGTGGTGGTGGTGATAGAGGTGGTAGTGGTGATGGTGGTGATGATGGTGGTGGTGGTGGAGGTGGTGGTAATGATGAAGGTGGTTGTGGTGATAGAGGGGATGGTGGTGGTGGTGGCGGGCATTGTGAAGGTAGTGGTGGATGTTGCGAGTGTGCTTACCTAACAATATTGACGGTCAAGATGTGTGTCGCATCTGGTTATGCAACCGTGGAGAGATTTGCCTTCAACTGTTTCTGCTTTCAGTACAATCCACTTGCTATCCACTTATACACGGCACGAATATTTCCACGTGTATCTTCTACTCATTTGCGTCTCCAGCCTCCACCAATGTCTTCTTATACAGTTTTCTCTCACTGAAAAATAGATTGTCCTTGTCCACCGAGTCTATTCTTCACAATATCTTGTATGTGGTGATCATGTTCCTTCTGTTCCATCTCTCCTCCGGGGGATGTAAACAATAAGTTGTCAAAACCTTTCCTCGTAGCCTAGTCTTAATTCTGATAAGTCAAAGGCATGGTGGTGAATGTGATGTGAGGGTGGTGGCGATGAAGGAGAGATTGATGGTGGAGGTTGATGGTGGAGGTTGATGGTGGAGGTTGATGGTGGAGGTTGATGGTGGCGGTGGATGAGGACGAGAGAGGGAGGGAGAAGAGGGACGGGAGGGGAGAAGATGTGGATGCCATGTGTAAGACGTCACAGATACTCCCTCCTGAAAAAACTCCTGACAGAGGGTGTTTTTGTGTGTTGACGTGTCGCTGACTTCCCACATACTTAGGATGCATCTTTGCCCCCCCCCCCCCCCCCCACACACACACACTTACCTCCTCCGTAGTCTTCTGTTACTGTTGCACAACTGTCTAAGCCACAGTCTGCTTCACACGTTTGCGTGAGCACGTATGAGCACACAAATAATATTGTCTAATCTCTGTGTTATTTTTATATATTTTAATCAATGAACAAACATCCGCGCCTTCTTGGAATACACAACAGAGTCGCATTAACAGCCTCTTCATCACCAAAAAAGTTTCGGGCTTCATTACCGGCCAGAGGAAGACGTTTCCGATGCATTTTCTTTTACCTGAGGCTTCTGTTCATCATGCAGTCAAATAGGTGCCTGGAAGTTAAGCAAACTAATTGTGGGTTGCATCCTGAGGAACGGCAACCTTCTCTTCTTCTTGATAGTAGGTGGAGCTTGCATGAAGGGTTTGTCCTCCCGATGACTGCACCAGTACACATGTTGAGAGACGCGTTGATGATGAAAATGATAAGAAGGCGATGAGTCACAATAACGTGGCAAAAGAATGTTGACCAGACCACACACTAGAAGGTGAAGGGACGACGACGTTTCGGTCCGTTTTGGAACATTCTCAAGTCGACTTGAGAATGGTCCAGGACGGACCGAAACGTCGTCATCCCTTCACCTTCTAGTGTGTGGTCTGGTCAACAAAATGATAAGAATTTCAGTGTTTGTTGCGTTGTGGTGTAGACAGAGGAGCGGCGACTAAAACAGAGGTGTGTGTTAGAGGGAGACTTGCCGCACCGTAGGGCGGTGTGTTGTGTTTATGGCGTCAGCTGATCCACGGTGTTGCGACGAGGCAGTTGTTTTCTGTGTTTAGCTGTTGGTGGCGCCAGGTATAAATGTGGCGCGGGTCAGGTGTGGCCCAATTTGTTGGTCGACTGGAGATATTTAGCCAGTGCTTTGACTATTTGGTATTTTTTCTGTAACGAGAGGTCATCTCCTCCTAATATATGCTCGATGGTATAGGGTATTTTAAGTGCGATAAATACTTGTTTGAAATTTACTCTGGCACTGTGATGTCGGAAACAGTGAAGGAGATAGTGTTCTACTGTTTCAGGTACCTGACAGTGGATGCAGAGTTCGTTAATGTCTGTTCTGTACTTAGAGCTGTGTGCTGTCAGTTTGGTTTAATCTTAAGCCTTAATCTGGTCATCGTTTCATCAATTTCTTTGCTTTTATATCTGACATGTTTCCAAGTCTCCCACCTCTTTTTAATGGACCCATAGTACAAAGGTGAGCATCACGTTTACCATTTCGTTGCAAAATTTTGGGTGATGGTATCCTTGAAGGCTCCTTTACGTGCAACATGAGGAATTTGATGACGGGTAATGTGAGGCGTGTTGTTCATCGCTTTGGCTAGTTGATCTACAAGTTTATTATGGAGTATACCACAATGTGCTGGGACCCATTGGTTAGAGGTGTCATAACCGTTCAATCGATGTTCATGAAGTTGAAGGCATGGATAAACAAACTCCTTGCACGTTGTTGAAGAGTAGGTAATTGCTTGAATCACACTCTTGGAGTCACTGCAGATTATATATATCCCAACTGGTAATGTTGTGATTATTTGGAGAACTTGATATAAGACATAATTCAGCTGTGAAAACAGATAGTTGGTTTGGTAACCGCAATCCCTGCTTGAAATGGTATTCCGGTATCCATACAGCGCTAGTGACCGAGGGTACGTTGTTCATGATGATGCGAGATCCATCTGTATAAATCGCTGTGGTATTTGGGTAGCAATTTCTCATTATTGAGACAAAGATTGAGGCTATGGCTGAGTTTGGTGCAGACTTTGGAATGTGTCTTCGAGTTGTATTGCTGTATTAGGAGTTGTATAAAGCCAAGGTGGAATAGGGGGGGACAGTAAGTTGGGGCTCAGAATTTTGGAGTAAAGTGAGGTCTATATTGAGATTATTTGTAGCCCGTGTGAGGAAAGGTTGCGAGTGATTGGTGGAGAAGCGGGGGTTATGTGGGTTAACTGTTGGGTTAATTTTTGATCTGTATGGGTGTGTCGGGTGAGCAGTGGTACAGAGTGACAGATAGTTAGCACACATTATGTCTCGTCTGGTGTCTAGGCTTGTGAGGCCCGTTTACCCGTAAATTCCGAGGATAGGAGTGGAACGCATTGCACAACATATAAGTCGAATGGCATTGTTTTGAATGACCTCAAGACTTTGTAGGTTAGTAGGCGCAGCCGACTTATATTCCTGGCAACAATAGTCTAGTTGGCTGCAAATGTAGGTTGTATAGAAACGGAGCAAGATTTTATGATGTGCTCCATAGGTGGGGCCAGTGTATCTTTAAGTATAGACAGTCGGGGTTGTGTCGTCTGTTTAAGATGCTGAATGTGTACCTTCCAGGTAAGTAAGGGGGAGTCTAAGTGCATGCCAAGGTATTTATGTCCTCGTACGTGTTGGATGGGAGTGTTGTGTATTGTGAGGGTGGGTAGATGAACAAGGCTTTTTGTAGTAAAAATCTGATAACAGGTTTTGGTAGTACCAACTTGAAGGCCCCATTGTTGGGTCCAATCTATGAGGTGGTCAAGTGCTGTTTGCATTGTTAAGACTGTATTAGGTACGGCTTTGTCTGAATAATACAATATTAAGTCGTCAGCGTACACAGAGAGGTGAACAGGATGGGTGTTAGGCAAATCTGCTAAGAATGCAGTAAAAAGGGTTGGGCTTAGAATGGAGCCTTGCGACAGCCTTGTTAACCTAGATGTAACTTTCAGCCCATTAAAAACTTAATTTGTATTGTAACACGATACATGACCTCACTTCGGAAAGGGTATAAGGAATAGGGAGAATAAAGGGGGTAAGATTAGAATCAGAATTAACAAAAAATTGCGGAAGGAAGATAAGAAGAAGAAGGATCAAGATTAAGAAGTAGGATCAAGATAATGATGACGAGATGACGATGAAATAGATGCTAGGACGTTTGCATAGAGCCAGAGGTGTTAGCAACGTGTTACTCTGAGAATGAGGGTCGGATCCTTGTCAGCGCCTCGTGGCCCAAACACCGAGTCAGCAGCTGGCTACAGATGCCCCTGGCTGATGCCGAGGGCAAAAAGGAACGTGTCAGACTCAGTCCTCCCCGTGCCTGGGCCGCGTTCAGGGTTCTCTTGTTAGCCTGTAGTTGAGAACGCACCTATGTGCCGGTAACCAGCAGCCCTTTCAAGTTATACTCTAGCTTCCCTTAACCTGTCGTAGGTCACTAAAGCGCCGTTCGCTTCATTCACCATTCAAACCCACGTAGATGGGAGACACGAACCGGGGAACGATTTATTATTAGTATCGTCAGTTGAGGTGTTGATGATACACTAATCCCCTCCTCCTGATACCTTCCTTGTACACTCAGTTTCAAGGCCTCACGCCCTTGGAGGCGCTGCGTGAGAGGCAGAACTCACCTCAGCCACCTGTGGGAGGCGCTGTAGGACTGCACGCCGATATAATGGTAAGCAGCTGATTGATAAAGATTAAGCCACCCAAAAGGTGGCACGGGCATGAATAGCCCGTAAGTAAGCAGCTGTTCTCTTCACTACTTATTTATGGGCTATTCATGCCCATGCCACCTCTTGGGTGGCTTAATCTTTATCAATCAATCAATCTCTTCACCATCCGCTATACCCTATATTAATGTGCATATCACGAGTGATTACTAACATCAAAAATATGTTTAGGTGTTTACTGTAGGAAGAGTATTAACATGAGAGCATTAATAGGATCTGTAAAGATTTTAATGTTATCGTAGAGCTGCAGCAATGTTTTGATGACACTGTTTTAAGTTACTAAAGGGTTAGTTTTCGTTAGAGATTGAACTCTCTAGACGATATAAAACTAATATTCTGATTAAATTAAGCAAAATATAGAAATAGGAGCTCAGTGGATAATAACAAGAAAATCTGATGAAATAATTAAACGAATACCTGTTGAAAACTTTGAAAAATTTGAATATCGATTGAGGTCTATTTTTAGTCGATATTATGTACTTTCTCTTGATTGTATTGTACACTTTCCTTTTGATTGTATTATATACTTTCCTCTTGATTATATTGTACACTTTCAACTCATTATATGAACTTTCCCGAAATGTCTGCTTGCTAAACACTTCTATCCTCCGTCCGGCCTTCCTTTCATTGAACATAACGGTTATTGTTTTAGATTTAGCTACTCAGAATGAAGTGTCCATGTAGCACGGGCTATGGTGAGCCCGTAATTGAACATAACGTCGTCCTATCCTCTTGTACCGTAATCTCGACTACCCCTCCCCTCCCCCTCTTCCTCCCTTGTGCCCTCTCTTCCGTCAGACCCCTTTCCTTCCTCTTTTGTAGGAAAGGTTCCCTATAATAAAATGAATAATATTTAATTAGGAAATCATTTTTCAATCTAATCTAATCCTCACCTTTTCAATCTAACCAATCCTGGCCTTTTTTTGATCTAGCCAATCCTAACCCATCTGTATCACACACACACACATGCATGAGGTATCTGTAGCTTAACACACACGCACACACATTTTTTGTTTTAATATTTACAACCCATTGTACTAAATTAGCTTGCCTATTTCCTACTTGTAGTCAGATCAGATGTGGCCCTAATTCTCACCCCCCTTCTAACCCTGCCGTCTTCCCTTCAAAATCAAGCCCTGAAGGCCAAACTATCTTAATGCTCACTCTCAAACCTACCTGCTCACTAGCAGCTGCAGTAAACGTAGCAGTAGTAGTAGCAGCAACAGCAGCAGCAGCAGCAGTAGCAGCAGCAGTAGTAGTAGCAGCAGCAAGAGCAGCAGCAGTAGCAGCAGCGGTAGTAGTAGCAGCAGCAGTAGCAGCAGCAGTAGTAGTAGCAGCAGCAAGAGCAGCAGCAGTAGCAGCAGCAAGAGCAGCAGCAGTAGCAGCAGCGGTAGTAGTAGTAGCAGCAGCAGCAGCAGCAGTAGTAGTAGCAGCAGCAGTAGTAGTAGCAGCAGCAGCAGCAGCGGTAGTAGTAGCAGCAGCAGTAGTAGTAGCAGCAGCAAGAGCAGCAGCAGTAGCAGCAGCAGTAGTAGTAGCAGCAGCAAGAGCAGCAGCAGTAGCAGCAGCGGTAGTAGTAGTAGCAGCAGCAGCAGCAGTAGTAGTAGCAGCAGCAAAGAGCAGCAGCAGCAGCTTCGGTACCAATAGCAGCAGCAGAAAAAGCGTTCGTGTCCAATATTACATTATCGTTACATAATGACATCAACAGCCCTTTAATCGTGAGTGATTGCCACTACGGCATTGTTACTGACCCATTCATTCGGCGTCGATTTTTTGTATGAAATGAAACCCCTGAGCATTAATTGGCGTGCGTGCGCACTTGCGCACTCTCTAGCCGGCGCATGACGATTCACTCACGCACACACCTGTACTCGCGTTCACGCTCACTCTATGAATCATTCACTCACGAAAATATTTTATCAAGAACATTAAACAAAAAAATTGAAAAATTTATTTTTCACTGTTAAATACGGCCACTGTCACATAAGAAAAAAAAAAGCACGAGTATTCACTAAGCCTCTCTGTCTGACGCTGCCTGTCTGTCTGTCTGTCTGTCTGTCTGTCTGTCTGTCTGTCTGTCTGTCTGTCTGTCTGTCTGTCTGTCTGTCTGTCTGTCTCTCTGTCTATACCTGCGTTCCCCAGCCACATATTCTCCAACAGAGACATTCCATTGGCCTGAAGCAGCGATCCGACTCTCTCTCTCTCTCGGGATCCCTGTACATAGTCCTCGAACCTGTCTCACCTTTCCCGTCGCCCTCGATACCATTATAACCACCATTATTCATTGTCATTAATACATTACTTCAGCAAATTTTCTAACTGAATACAGTATGCACACACTTTTGTGCTGGTGCAGAGCCAGCCGCCGTCCAAACACACACACACAAACACACACACACACACACACACACACACACACACACACACACACACACACACACACACACACACATTTCACGCCGGTCAAAGCTGCATAGAACGCTTTTTAGCTGCCGATATTGCTGATCCCGTTGTAAGGTTCTCCAGCGCTTTCCACTGTATTGCGTTTTAGTATGGCTGGAGTAACTAGTTGTGCTTCTTCATCTTGCACTGTGACTATCAAGATGCTTTATACGTAAGCTTTCGAGGGAAATCTGGGCAGTTGTGTGTCTTTTGTTGAGGGTGTAAGGCTTGTGTTTAGTGAGCAACTGTAGGGAGAAAGGGGCTAAGATTTTCAGTTTCTGAAAGTTTCAGTTTCTGAAAGTTTCAGTTTCGGAAAGTTTGTGTTTCGGAAACCTTTGACTATGACTTTCGGTTGGTAAAACTCTCCATTTCCAAAAGTTTATTTGACTTATCAGCCTTGGTATAATATGTAGTAATATCTATTCTGAGAGGGCAAAGCATTTACCAACCCGTCCTCGACTTATAAGTCCATTACATCCAGCGGTCGACCCCACAGACGCATTCATAAATTTTAATATGCTGTTCATTCAAAACAGGAATGTTTTCAAATATAAACTAATATTATAAGATATTAGCATATTGTGCATATATATAGGCATTGGTTAGGTTAGGTGTTTAGGTTTTCTTATGTGTTTTATTTTATGTTGATACTTTAGTTCACTCTAAATATCACCTTTGTTGTGGTTATTGATTCACTTGTACACGTACTACAAATACAAATAATCGCCAACAGAACCTAAACACCTAACCTAACCTATGCCTATATATGCACAATATGCTAATATATTATAATATTAATTTTTATTGGAGAAAATTCCTGTTTTGAATGAACAGCATGTTAACATTTATGAATGCGTCTGTGGGGTCGACCGCTGGATGGAATGGACTTATAAGTCGAGGACGGGTTGTTTATAACGTTGTGATTCGAACAAAATTCAACAGTGAAGCACTTGTTCCAGAAGTGTTTGAACGTTACCAGTTGTGTGTAAATCGTTTTTCATTCGTAAACAGGGGGTTTGGCGTCTAGATTTACGAACATTTGGCCTTTGTTGATGAGGGCGGGTTGCATAAAATATAATAACAAGAGGGTAAGGCATCGTTGAAACCATGTTATTTATTTCGAAGTCCCGCCCACTGATGAAGTCTCAAGTCAGATAGCCAGGCCATATTTGTATAACAACTGTTACATCCTGCAATAATAATTATCAGTGTACAAATTTAAATGATGGAAAATTTGACTTTTTGGGTAGATTCGTGTTCCTACATAATATCATAAGCAAGGTTGGTATGCTGAAGACCAATGACACTAAGTGGGTGGAGAATTTTCTGTGATTGGCCGCTGTGATGAATGTCTATAAAGAGTTTCAACCATTGAGATACAAGCGCGGAAATGCTTTCTTCAGCAAAACAACGCGCCTTATGGGCTGCTGTTGGCCTGTTGATAGCGCAATGTCCTGCCAACAGATGGCACCAGCTGTATCTTGTAAATGGGGGGGGGGGGGTGTTGTTGATAGTTTAATTTTAAGCCGCTAGATGGCATAAGTTGTAACTTATAACTGTCTTTGGCCTTACCTGTTGAGAGTGTACTTTTCTATAAATAGATGGAACCACCTGTACTATTACCTCCGTATTTCCATTAAATATTCATATACAATTCCCACGGCTTTTTGTATTTTGTATTTAGAAGGCCTCTCCCAATTAATTTGATTTAAATTTTCTGGCAGATATGTTTTAATACAAAATTTCAAAACCATTTAACATGAATATTAGTAGCAACCCCCTCTCCCCCTTCCTCCCCGCCAAGTGTGTATATATGTGAACATTGACATTTCAGAAATGGGGTTTCCTGTTGAGAATTTCATTCTTATTATATACAGTATGATACGAGAAAAGATATTCATCTTTAATTTACTTAAACTACCAGACGTTACAGAGTACCAAATACCATCATCAGTGCTATAAAGAGAATAATTACATCTGAAATTTAGCTACAAACAATTCAAAATGTATCGAAATTATATATTCAGCAAAAATAAATATTCACAAAGTAAAAGGAAAACTGTATACAAATTAAGGACAAATATATATACAAAAAATAGAATAATAAAATTGCTCATCACATACTTTAGAGAAGATAGTGTACAAACAGTATATAAACAACTGAATCGACGACTCTCAGCTGTTCAACATGAGCTTCATTTTAAAAAAACGAGACACTTTCTAAAAAAAAATGTTGAGTTCAAGGCGAGACGAACTGTGGAACAGAACGGTGAAATCGCTGTAAGTGAAAGGATGGCCCTTTATTCCCGTTATATTTTCTAATAGCAGAGGACGCACATTGCCAAAGCGTCGGACCAAACACGGTAAGAAATACCCACGTGTTCACAAATACGGTGTTAAACATTTCCGTGAGCAATTTCACCACATTCAGCCCGTCCTCCAAACAAAGATCCAAAAGTGATTCCATGCACCCGCCAAACCCCCTGTTTATGAATGAAAAGCGGTTTACACACGACTCACAACTGCTGACGTTCGAACATATCCGGAACAAGTGTTTCACTGACGAATTTTGTTCGAATCACAACGCTATAAATGCTTCACCCATGTACTACAAATACAAGTAATCGCCAACAGAACCTAAACACCTAACCTAACCTAACCTATGCCTATGTATGCACAATATGCTAATATATTATAATATTAATTTATACTTGAGAAAATTCCCGTTTTGAATGAACAGCATATTAAAATTTATGAATGCGTCTGTGGGGTCGACCGCTGGATGTAATGGACTTGAGTCGAGGACGGGTTGCCACATTGAACGTTGCAGTTCGAGCATTTTAAACAGATTAACAACACCTGATGAGAGTTCAAAGAGTAGCGGAGCTCTACGTTTTAAATAGTTTTCCAGTGGAGTTATTGTTAGTAAACACGAACTGAAAACTAATTTTAATTTTCAGTTCGTGGTTCACTAACAATAACATCATTGGAAACTATTTAAAACATGGAAGTCCACTGCTCTTTGAACGCAGACCTGGTTTTTTTTATCTGTTTAAATGTTTGATTTGTAACGTTCACTAGTCCTGTGGGCTCTCTTATATCAATATCTGAACCTCGCTATAGATTCTAATTATCTCTTCACATCCAAGTGATGTGAATTTCCTTTTATCCACATCACTTGGATGTGGATAAAATGAAATTTCATTTAGTTACTTTGATATTGTTTATTTCATTTATTTACCTTGATATTGACCAAATATTCTCCTTGCCAGTCTCCACTATTTTATGTTATGATCAAATTTCCTTCTCTCTCTCTCTCTCTCTCTCTCTCTCTCTCTCTCTCTCTCTCTCTCTCTCTCTCTCTCTCTCTCTCTCTCTCTCTCTCTCTCTCTCTCTCTCTCTCTCTCTCTCTCTCTCTCTCTCTCTCTCTCACTTTAAGTAACGTGGAGTTTTATTTAATTTAGTCTTTACTCGCAATTCCTTCCGCCCAGCTGTGACTTACCAGGTAGCATTTCTCTGGACTTTCACCTGCATCATTTGTGATTGACGTGTCATTTCCCCCATTTAGGAAACGTCCTTCAAGACCAGTAGGACTTTCCTCATGTTTGTGGCTGTCATCCTGGCTCTGGGCACATCTGCGAACACCCAGGAAGCCGATGGCAACTATAAAGAGGTCGACTGGAATCGCCTCGTTGACTTGGTCCAAGTAAAGAAGTTGTTTGTCGAGGAGATGACGAAGTCCATGATCAACCTGAAGAAGCAAAGGGATGCCCTTGGCTGTGGTCCAGGTGAGTATAGTATAGAGACCACTATTGACTAATTACGTGGTAGAAAGATATCAGAATTTGGTTATTGATATTACATTGGGGGGGGTCAATACTTCATGTGGCTCTATAATAAATGTTGAGGGGGGATTAATGCTACATGAGGATCTATTTAACTTATTTATCGTACGAAACACAGATAAAAAAATATAAAAATAAACTTTTAGGCTTCAGAATTTTATATGTACTCTCACAATGCTAATTAACACGACTTCTTCCCCCGTGATAGATGTTTTGCAACATATTTACATACATATATATCAATAACTATTGACCAGACCACACACTAGAAGGTGAAGGGACGACGACGTTTCGATCCGTCCTGGACCATTCTCAAGTCGATTGACAATTGACTTGCGAATGGTTCAGGACGGACCGAAGCGTCGTCATCCCTTCACCTTCTAGTGTGTAATCTGGTCAACATAATTTAGCCACGTTATTGTGACTCATCGCCTGCATATCAATAACTAATAGATGATAAAAAATTAATCGGAAGGGAATCATTATTCGCATCTAAACAAGAACAACATACGTCTCTAGCACGACACAAGATGGAGCCATCACTCTCCAGCATCACTTCGAACCTTGTCACCGAGATCACAGACGCGATGGCGATGCTGCAGAACGCCTCGAGGACCTTACTGGAGGAGATGGGGAGAGAGACGTGTCCTAAGGATCTTCACTCTCCGTGTCCAAGGTATGTCAGTTGCATTAGAGTGTTTATACACGTGTCGTGGAAAACATTTTCTGTCTGTGTACCAGTGAAGTGATTGATATCATCGTATGATTGTGACTGGTATCTCCGATGATTGGTATCATATCATCGGGAGCACTTGTTGAACGCTTATGAACGAACGCTTGGTGAACGAACGTTGAGCGGTACAAGATATACATTCGTGTATCTTATTAGTTTATGTATTATCTTGGGAAGGTTTTCTGGTCGTGGGGACGTGAGGATTCGTGAATATAGCTCAAGAAATAAAGAGGTGTTTACTCTGTATATCCAAAGAACAAATTTAGAGTTAATTGATACTCAATCACCATAGGATATTCATGACGCTCAAATCATGGTAATTTAAACTCCAATTTGCATGTTTCATGGAAAAAGTGTCGTTTTAATTCCATTTTAACAACTTTGAAAGACCCCACGATTTGTGCATAATGTTAGCTAATCTTATGTGCTGTAATTTCAGAGAGAGAGAGAGAGAGAAGAGATAGAGAGAGAGAGAGAGAGAGAGAGAGAGAGAGAGAGTAGAGAGAGAGAGAAGAGAGAGAGAGAGAGAGAGAGAGAGAGAAAATATCTTGACCATTTTAACCCATTCTTTGCCTGTGTCTTTACAGCCCCGAAGATTGGCGGTGCAAGACAGGAGAGTGCATCCCCAAGGCGAAACGCTGCGACACCTCCCATGACTGTCTCGATGGGTCAGACGAGACCCCCTCCTGTTCGGTGAGTCTCCAGGAATACAACAGTTGATAGTGCCGATAAGGATAATAGGGTATAGATCCTGGTAACGAGGGGAGAGATGCGAGTTGGTTGATCCAAGAGGGTCAGAATGATAAGAGAGCTAGTGAGTGTGAAATAGGTTCTGGGGGACACCAGGAGAAAGCCAAAATCGTTGCACCAAATTAGTGGTTGTGAATTTATTCTTGATTGTTCAGCAGAACAGAATCACGAGAGACTTAATCAAGCCATAATCCTGAAAGAACAAATGAAGAACGAAAGGGAGAACCATAGCTAAAAATAAGTGGAAGGGAAAGTGTGTAAGGGGAAAAAATTTAATTAATAAATACAAAATAAAGGGAGTGTTAAATTAGGGATGGAATTAGAGTGAAAAAAACAACGGCATTCCTAAAGAGGATGAAAAGAAGGAATTCCATGAATAGAACCAGATGAGGATCAACTATTTGGAGAATGGAATCCAAGAAGTGGTAGTAGGGAAAATACCCATCTAATTGGAAATGATTTTTCTTCACGGTGTTGTGTGTCTTGTATAAATATATTATTTGGGTAAATGGGATAAAGATGGGAAAGTAGATGAAAAGTTAGCTAAATTTAATGGAAGCACTAGAAAAAAACTATGGGGTAGGTAGTTAGTCACATTAAATAGGATCAGAACCAACAAAATAAGTTAGAGCAGAATCGACAAAAGTGGAAATGGAACCCTGGTTAAACTCGTGCTTAGAACGCCAGGTCGGAATTCAATGTAAATACATCGATAGTCTCATTCGTAGAAATAGAGGTGAATAGTGTAAGATGAACCTGAAGGTGTTCCAAAAAGACAAAGGACTGGTGGAAACCAGAACAAAACAGCCTGTGCGTAGCAGACAAAAGGAAGGAAAAATAATAAAATATTTTAGGATAACATTGAAATAATGACTGCGTATAGCATAAATTTTTCTTAATCACCGATAGATGTAAATCAAGAAAGTCGGAAGGTTGTTCAAGCAACAATTACACACAAAATGAATATTAATACTAATAATTGTGAATACAATTATTCCATTTAAAATTACGAACAAATAATGTTCCAAATTATATAACAAACTCTCATTAAGTATTACTTTAATAATTCACGTTTATGTATAAAATGTTTCTCACGGGAACTCCTAAAGGGGGGGGGATCTATTGGGATAAAGCGCCAAGCCATTACGATAATATAGCACTGGAAAGGGCTCAGGATAAGGACCTGGGTGGAATGGTTAAAAATAATTTCCTAAATAAATAAATATATATATATATATATATGTATATGTATATGTATATATATATATATATATATATATATATATATATATATATATATATATATATATATATATATCCAGCTTAGACAATACAAATTAGTTTGAGAACACTCACATCGTCTGGAGAATTGGTTTACAAAGTATTCAGTTTACGAACTGAAAGAGTTGCACAGCATCTGACTTGACAGTTAACTCGTTCGGGAAAACAAGTGACTTCAAGAGTGACTTTCGCAGATATTTCCGAATTGAACGTTTCTTCGCATATCCTGGAAATAGATATTGATCATTGAGTTTATTTATGGTTTAGTGTCAACCCGTGTGTCAGATTGTGTGTTATCTATGTAAGTATGTGTGTCAACGTGTGTATGTGTCAGCCTGTGTTAACGTGTGTGCATGAGCTTGTGCACTTGGCTAGCAGTGACTGCTGGGAAGGAAGGGAGGTCTAGCTCTTAATTTCCCGCGTTGCTAGCCTTGTTGCACCTGTTGCTTGAAAAGCTTCCCACCTGTGTACGTTACCCTGCATATCAACAGGTGTGTCCGCTTCTATAGGTGTATCTTCCTTTAAAACTATTATTTGCGCTATCTGTTGCTACTATTATTACTCTTCACGCCTTTTATTTCTGCTAGTACCACCATTACCACCATTATTGTTATCGTTATTCCTGAGACTATGAGTGAGGATACTACTACCTCTGTCGTCCAAGAGCTCTATTGAAACTAATAACTATAACACAGCCTTTAAAGATAATAAAACAATAATCATTACATCTGCTACTCAGGTGTTGCAGTGTGAGAGGAAAGGCAGCTTTAAGTGCGTCTTCAGTGACGTCTGTATACCTGTAGAGGCCAGGTGTAACCTCGTCTGGGAGTGTCCTGACGGTAGCGACGAAAAGGGCTGTGAGGTGAGATGGATAGGGCGGGGGTTTGGGCGGGGATGGGTGGGGGTGGGTGGGGGTATGGTTGCTGGGAAGGATGGAGAAGGTGGGTAAAGAGGGGTCTGCACAGTTGGGGTGGGGAGGTATGGGATGGGTGTGAGTGCGGGGGGTGGGGGTTCTCGGTGTGTGAGGCAAAGTCTGGCCAGGTAGAATCTAGCGCCATAGGGTATAATGGATTCGAGTCTTGTTGGGTTCACTGACGTCAAATGGGGTTTGTTGGGGTTGCGCGCAGGACCAAAAGCTTGTACCTAGAGAATGATACACTTAGTTTATCTAATATCCTTTGACTAGAAGACGGGCGTCACGAATCTCAATTAAATCCACTCTTCCCCTAAAACATTGTGTTCCAAAATGTAGAGGAAGGGGGGGGGGGGGTGAAACAGGAAGGGGGGGGGGGTGAATTGTATGGTCCAAAACGTGATTGACCCCAACACACTAAAGCAGCCTTCAGCAACATTTTCTTAAATGTATAGGTATAAAGGAACGGATTGAGAAAGAGGCAGAAGGAGCTAGACTCAATCCCAAGGTCCAACAGCAATTATGGGAGAACTCACGGGCGCTGAGCCTATCTAAACGAGGCGGGAACCACAGCTAGGTAATTAAACACTCACTAGCACACGCACACACACTCAGCGGGACACACACACACACGCGTGCGCACTCACAAGTCTCCTCCCGCAGATCACCTGCACGCAAACTCAGTTCCTGTGCGGGAAGGACCGGAGGTGCATGCCCCTGGGGTGGCGGTGTGACGGCCAGCAGGACTGTAGTGACGCCAGCGACGAGGCTGGGTGTGACCAGCCCACTCGGCCCCTGGAGGGAGATATGCCCCTGGTTCATCAGCATCGCTTCCCAGCCTCCCCGCTCTCAATCCCACCCATCGCCTCTGTGGTGCGCTCTAAGGTACAGTGTGATGCACTCTAGCGGTATACTGTGATGTCATGCACTTTATCGTACACTGTAATGCACTCCATGATGCACTATGGTGCACTCTACGGTGCACTGTGGTCCGTTCTATGGTACACTATGATGCACTCCGTGGTGCTCTGTTTCACTGTGGTACACAGAAGGGAATCTTATGGTACACTGAAGTTCGCTACGGTACACTGAGTCACTCTCTAGTGTGCTGTTATACATTATATGATAAAATTGAAGAATCAGAGATTATATCATATCGTCACTCTCGCTTTCTTATTCTCTCTTTCCCTTGTTTCCTCTCTCCCTCCCTGTTAACTCTCTCCTACCTCCCTGGTCCTATTATTGCCTCGTCTCTTTTGGCTATCTTCCTCCCTCTTCCTTTATTTGATCTCCCTGCAAACCCTCCAAACCATCTGTTCTTCTTTTCCACCAGACATCTTTATCGCCTCTCCATCCCACTTCCGTCCGTCGCTCATTCTCTTGCCTCCTTCTCTTCTTCACATCTATCTTAAAAGTAAAATATCCGGTCGAAAGTGAGAGTATCATGTTTTGTAGTGAAAGAATCATGTTAAAATTGAAAGAAATGCGTTCCAGACTATGCGAGTTTCCTGGTTACATTGTTATTCATCTCGGCAACACATTCTACCGGCTTCTCGTCCCTAAAATTAGCGGCCATCCCACCCCATTAATGTCCTCAACTGGTCCCTCCTACATTGAATGCATTCACTGGCTAAAAATAACACAAATGAATCAATTGCTTGAATTGATCCAGGGGGCAAGGGGCCCTCCTGGACGATTTTCAAAAATAAGACGCAGTAATAATAACTTTGATTTAATTAAGTTTGTCTCTCGCAGCAAAATCCCTGTGGTTCAGGGCTGGTCTTCTGCAGCCCCGATAACACCTGCCTCCCGAGGGCGTGGCTCTGTGATGGCTCCCGGGACTGTTCCGACGGCAGTGACGAGGCCGACTGCCTTGAGGCAGCTAGACCACCATCCTCCCCGCAGGATTTTGCCCCTCCTGCGCCGCCTGCGCCGCCTGCGCCGCCTGCGCCACCCACCTCGTCACCTACAGCAGTGGTAACGTCGGCCGGCTCGGTCTTGTCTAGATTTGTAAGGATTTGCTTCTCTTGCTTCGTTCCTCGCCTGTGTTTCTTCATACGTTTACTCTATTTGGTCTTCTGGTTTTAATTTTTCATTAAATTTTTTCTATCTTCTTCTTTTAGCAATATACTTCCAGTCATTCTTTTCCCCATCTCTCTTCTCTCTTTCGCTCTTCTCTTCTCTCTCATCTCTCTCTCTCTCTCTCTCTCATCCTCTCTCTCTCTCCCTCTCTCTCTCTCTCTCTCTCTCGCTCTCTCTCTCTCTCTCTCTCTCTCTCTCTCTCTTTCTCTCTCTCTCTCTCTCACTCTCTCTCTCTCTCTCTCTCTCTCTCTCTCTCTCTCTCTCTCGCTCTCTCTCTCTCTCCTCTATCTCTCTCTCTACTCTCTTACTCACTTTTATTGAAACTTGGGTTCATTAGGAAAGTCTTTGATGCTCCTAATGAAACTGTAAGCATCAGCTCATCGCAAGTCTAATCCTAGAAACCCATTTAAAGAGTGTCTAATTAACTAACAAGAATGAAGTCCAATGCTAAGTTACAATGGTGTTATCAGCGGGATGAAGATGGAGCAGCCGAGTGCCAGAACCTTCAGGTGGTCAGTTGCCTGGATTTCTCGCATATCTAAGTGCTGAGCGCACATGAACTAAATGTGCACGTTTTTCAAGAAATAAATGATCGCTGATGAAATGATGTTCTAGACTCTTGAGACTGGCACAGCCACTATGAGTCACTTGATGGCTGAGCGCCTTGTGTAGACGATGCCAGCTTCTGGTTATCCACGAAGCTGAGTCAGGTTGGGAATTTTTAGCATCTATGCACTATACATAACATTAAGGTCTCCAACATCTCTTCGGTGTTGAGGGCTCCGTTGTACTGACCAATACAACTAGACTCGATCAATACTAGAGACGATGGACTCTTCTCCCACAGTTTTTCTCCCCCTTGTTCAGAATTAAGATAATTGATGTGGTGATGATGAGTCACAATAACGTGGCTAAAATTTTTTGCCTAGATCACTCACTAGAAAGTGAAGGGACGACGACGTTTCGGTCCGTCTCGGGCCATTTACAATCCACCGACACCACAATCGACTTGAGAATGATCCAGGACGGACCGAAACGTCGTCGTCCCTTCACTTTCTAGTGTGTGGTCTGGTCAACAATTGATGTGGGACTGGTTATCCAAGAAAGTAACATATATACTCAAGATAAAAGTGAACTTGTTCTTCATAGAAGGTTTTGAGACCTATGTTATAGAAAAGGTATCAAATGCGTATAAGGGCTCTAAGTTTCTTGGCTGCCTTACTTGCAAGGTTTAACAAGGGCTCTTCGTGGTCACTGAAGACTCAAAACGCATCCCAAAAATATTAACATTAAGCATAATGTGTGTTCTAACTATCCATAAGTCTATCCTAAATTCAATGTCACGCAGTTAATTAGTGATCATCGCTTGCCATTTCACTACCGTAAAAGTCGCTTACCATAGTCTACCGCAGGAAGAAATTAATCTTACACAAGGGACATCTAAATGCTGACTCTTTGGTACATGCCAGACCAGGCCTTTCCTAAGGCCATGTTGACACAATCGATGATGGTAAAACAATCACTGTAATTTGATATAAGATAATTGTCCTAACAATGTTGCCAGTGATTGAAAGCATGAACATTAGCCTGTACTTAACGATCACTTAATCTTTCCTCCCTCATTTCTAAGGTTCATAATAGGTTATTCAGAATAAAATCAGGCCAGAAACCTAAACAATCACACCTTAAAACACCTGATTGAAAATCAAAATTAAAAAATGTCCATTAATAAGTAATTTTTTTCTCTCGTTCGCACACACACACACAGAACCCCTGTCGTTCAAATCGCGTCTTCTGCAGCCGCGATAACACCTGCCTTCCGAGGGCGTGGCTCTGTGATGGCTCCCTGGACTGTTCCGACGGCAGTGACGAGGCCGACTGCCTTGAGGCAACAGGACCGCTAGCCTCGACGCCAGGTTCTGCCCCTCCTGCGCCACCTACATCACCCACCTCGCCACCTACACCACCACCTCCAGCAGTGGTAATGCCAGCAGCCTCCGTTATGTCTAGATATGTGTGGGAGTTGCTACCGTGTTCAGTGTTCACTAAGAATCACTTGCTTTATCCATTCGTCGCTTCGAAGCCCTCTTAGGTTCTTTTCCTTTCCTGATCTTCATTCTTCTTTCCCTTCAGCATTTTTCTCTTCCACCCTTCGCTCATTAATCTCGCCCTTCATCACCCTCTCCCCTTCCACTTTTTAAGTCTTTCTTCCGTTCTACCTGTTAGATGCTCATTTTTTACCGACCGACTCTGTAGTAATGTCGCAACGATCGTATAGATACCGGAATTTGGGGATTGTATCTACGGTATATCTGACCACTACACGGTAGCTATCGAGGTAAATTGGAATTTAACCGAGAGCAAGTAGCACAATCACAGAGCACACGACCTTACACCTAATATTGTAGTGGGATCCACCACAAGGGAATCGGTTCTAGATGATACAGTAAATTAACCTTAAAGAGAGAGAGAGATTCTGTGGGTTTCGGCATTAAATTTATGTAAATCTGGGCCTCGAATAGGCTTGTGGTATCATAAATAATAATATATTAAATACCAAACCTAATTACTTACGGAAGCTAATGGGATAATTTGCTCGCAGAAGGATTCCTAACTTTAAGATTTTGCTTCGGCACTTTGTAAAAGTGTTTCCCAGACACTATAACAGGGAACAATAACAGGGAACACACGGGAGTCCTGTTCCATCCAGGAACTCGACACGGTGGATATGCACATAGGAATAAATAGGTTTTCAATTATTAGAACTGCCCCAAGCTTCTCCTCGTAGGAAAATGCTTTTCATGCCTTCATGTAATGATTATATGGAGGGCTTCCTAAGGCTTCGGACTCGATGTAAGATCATACACTATCAGGCCCGAGAACAACGCTTGAGCTTCTGTCAAGGTAACGCTATGGGCCCTGGCCGGGAGATTTTCAATGTCAGCTACAAGCGAGATCTCAGATAATATGAAAATGAGAGAACAGTACTTACACAATCAGATAGTAATAATTAATATTGTCAGGGGGACAGGTAGCCTGTGTACGTACATACGTGAGGCTTATTCCGATTTCCCACCCACCCTCACAATCCCTCTATGGTACCCTACTCACCATTTACATTCTCCAGATTTCCTCCTTTGCCCCTTACTTTTTTTTTCGTCCTCATTTAAATTTCGTCTCTCATTTATAATATTCACATTAAGTTATTGAAAGTGAAATCTGGACATTAACGTGAACAATCACACACTTTTAAAAGACCTAACTGAAGATACAACTTGTTTAAAATGCTATTTAACATATTTTCTCTCTCTCTCTCTCTCTCTCTCTCTCTCTCTCTCTCTCTCTCTCTCTCTCTCTCTCTCTCTCTCTCTCTCTCTCTCTCTCTCTCTCTCTCTCTCTCTCTCTCTCTCTCTCTCTCTCTCTCTCTCTCTCTCTCTCTCTCCTTCTCTCTCCTTCTCTCTCCTTCTCTCTCCTTCTCTCTCCTTCTCTCTCCTTCCTACAGGAGAATCCCTGTGGTTCAGGGCTGGTCTTCTGCAGCCCCGATAACACCTGCCTCCCGAGGGCGTGGCTCTGTGATGGCTCCCGGGACTGTTCCGACGGCAGTGACGAGGCCGACTGCCTTGGGGCAGCTGGACCGCTAGCCTCGGCGCCAGTTATTTCCCCACCTACGCCACCTACGTTACCACCTACACAAGTGGTAATACCCGATGTCCTCCCTAGTGTCCGGACTTACTGAGAGCCGCTCTCGTATTTAGTGTTGGCTGAGATTCTGCTAATTTTACTGAACTTAGAACTGTTACTTTTAATATATAAGTTGTACAATCACCATCTATCTACCACCAGCACAATTATGCCATCACCACCACTTGCGATATCTACCCCCATAACTACCCACCCACTCACCCACCTGTACTATCATGCCATCACCACCACTTGCGATATCTACCCCCATAACCACCCACCCACTCACCCACCTGTACTATCATGCCATCACCACCACTTGCGATATCTACCCCCATAACCACCCACCCACTCACCCACCTGTACTATCATGCCATCACCACTTTCACTAATTCTCAGCATCACCAATGCGACTGGTAATACTAATATTCTGACCTTATAAACAGTTTTACATTAATATTTTGGAAATATGAGAGAGAGAGAGAGGGCAAGAGATAAATTAACCAGTTCTCTGAAGTCTTGTGTGACCTCCACCTCAGGGGACCTGTGAGGGACAGATGTTCAGGTGTGTGACGACAAGCCGGTGCATCCCGTCACAGTGGCTGTGTGACGGTGACAAGGACTGTGACGACTCCAGTGACGAAGTTAACTGCCCGCTACAATTACCTTCATCTCGGGAGGTTACAGCTCCACCTCCGGCCTCCGAAGTAAGCCAACTTTTTTCAACTAAGGTTTTCGTTATACTGTTCATAAGTCTGTGACTTTCATTTCATTCTCGCAACGCGTGCAATAATGACAACGAAACATTTAAACAAAAGCATTAACGCTAGCATAATAGAAGTATGATCCCTTGATTGTTTCAAGCGTAGGTTAGACATTGATATGAATGAGATTGGGTGAATATAAACAGGAGCTCGTCGTATGGCCCAAAAGGCCATCTGCAGTTACCTTCATTCGTATGTTCTTATGTTTTTAACAGCAATACGAGGAATGAATGCAATTGCATCTGAAATAAAGCCGATCGTGTAATTACAGTAGCAATATAACATATGTATATATTACGTATTTTTATATGAAAGGTTTTAAATACAAATGAACAAATAAATTTAAAGAGCATGTAACATACAGACGCAATATACTGCAAGAGGGCACCTGTCTAAACTAATATAATTATAATTAAAAAAATATAGTGGTGATATATGATTATATTATGTACATAAATGCATAAATGACTGATCCAGGATGCATCAAGCGACCACTTACGAAACCTGTTCATCTTTTTAACAATCATGATAACAGGAGGTTGTTCACAATCATATCTACTCTATTTAGATAAAATAGACTTAGTAATGTTCTCTGGCGGTCCTGCTGTAATCCTGTATCCAACGCTTGAAACATTTCCTGCACCTTTAAACAAAACAAAAGAAAAAAACTTTAGAGAGAAGGACTTCATCTGGCACATCATTACTCTTTGGCACTGTAAAAGGACATTAGAAAAGGCTCGACATTATACAAAATATATCAGCATATTATGCCTGTTTCTCCTCGCCTCAGGTGGAGTGCGGGGCCAACATGTTCCGCTGTGACAATGGGGCGCAATGTATCTCCTCCTTGTGGAGGTGCGACAGGTACAATGACTGCGCGGACGGCAGTGATGAGAGTGACTGCGCCGACACCGTCGTCTTGTCGTCGACCACAGCAACCATACATGCAGGGGCCACACCTGTAGCGACACCTGCAGCGACACCTGCAACCACTGTAGAGGTTTGCGCTTGCTATTGATAATTATCTCCCCTTATCCCTCACGAGGTAAGGTGAGATAATTGCCTTAGTTTGTCTTGTGACAAAGTTCGTGTATTATTCGTGGTAAATAATCAGCAATTTTGTTTTCGTTAAAAGGCGTTTAGCGAGTGACACCTGAATCTAAAACACAGATCTAAAGAGTTTATTCTTTGTGATACCTGAGGCACTTACATCTCTCTTTCTCCGTGAAGGAGCAAGAAATAAGACAAAAGATGTGTCTTTTACACTGGAAACTTCTACACCAACTGATACAGAACTTCAACACCGAATGCTCTGTTGTTCTTCATGAACCAGGTGTTGCAGACTGGGCCACGCAATCCATTCGAATGCCGTAATTTATCTGCAGTTAGATCAATTTTTCTCTAGCGCGGTGACACATATTTTATTTCCCTCTGCAATTCGAGTGCCCTCATTGCTCCGTTTTATTTCAACATCGCGATTCGTTTCCTTAACTTCCTTAAATAGTTGTTTTAGCTTGCTCTTTGGACCACTCGAGTCCTGTTGTCCTCTTTGTCTCACCTGCAGATTGACTGTCCAGAGGGGATGTTTCAGTGTCGGGATCCAGCCAGCTGTATACCTTCAGACTGGAAATGTGACGGTCAGAATGACTGTGCAGCAGGAACTGATGAACAGAACTGTAATCAGGTGAGTGATGCTTGGCTTAGGGTGTCTGACGACCGGCCAGTGGGTGAGTGATGCCTGGCTGAGGGTGTCTGACGACCGCCCAGTGGGTGAGTGATGCCTGGCTGAGGGTGTCTGACGACCGGCCAGTGGGTGAGTGATGCTTGACTCAGGGTGTCTGACGACTGACCAGTGGGTGAGTGATGCCTGGCTTAGGGTGGCTGACGACCGGCCAGTGGGTGAGTGATGCCTGGCTTAGGGTGTCTGACGACCGCCCAGTGGGTGAGTGATGCCTGGCTGAGGGTGTCTGACGACCGCCCAGTGGGTGAATGATGCTTGACTTAGGGTGTCTGACGACTGACCAGTGGGTGAGTGATGCCTGGCTTAGGGTGGCTGACGACCGGCCAGTGGGTGAGTGATGCCTGGCTTAGGGTGGCTGACGACCGGCCAGTGGGTGAGTGATGCTTGGCTGAGGGTGTCTGACGACCGGCCAGTGGGTGAATGATGCCTGGCTGAGGGTGTCTGACGACCGGCCAGTGGGTGAGTGATGCCTGGCTTAGGGTGGCTGACGACCGGCCAGTAGGTGACTGAGGGAAGGTCAAGGATGTGCGATGACTGCCTTGAGGTGACGAAGGCTTGCCTCAGACTCATCCTCTTCTAACTCTTTAAACCTGCTTACTGTTCTTACACTTAATAGTTTTTTTAATTCAATAAATTTGTTTGTCATACCAATTTGACTAGTTCTCACCCATGTGCTCTTGCTTTGCCCATCTTCCTGTTAGTTTCAAGAGTTTTGGATCACGAATTGCAGGTGATGCAAATTGTACAATCTTGCTTCCTCATTTAGGCCTAATAAAAATATCAGAACAGATTGGACCCTAGAACTTATTCTTTCATACTTCGCCTATTACTCTCCTACACAAACTTTTTCCACCACTGTAAAGAAATTTCTTTCACTGTAAATAGTTCTATTGCACTTATGTTGTATTTTGGAGAGGTATTCATAATTTCCAATATGCTTCCAGTTTCTCTAGATTCCTTCACAATTTTTGGAAAAAGTATTGTGTGTGTGGGGAAGTGTCGAAGCTCTCGGACTGTCCAGAACACCACAAACCCACTCGTTCTCTTACGGGCTATTCAAGCCCGTGCCACCTCTTGGGTGGTTTAATCTTTATCAATCACTCCTGTGTGTCTCTCCTGTGTGTCGGTGTCACCTCATCATAAAATTCGAGCAAGTGTGTCAAATGCTTTCATAACGTGAATCTATGTTGAAACGTTTGGTATAAATTTTGACTGTTTCTTAATGTTCTAATAGACTCCTGATGATTGATTTATCTCTAATAAAATTATTAGACATTTATCAGCGATACAGGACTGTAAGATAGTTGCGGTCTGCTGCATTGCTTGCATACATACCCTAATACCTTCGTGTTTGTCTGTCTTAGAACACTCATCTATACTGACGCCCATCTCACCTTCACACACTCTTAACCTGTCTTATCATAATTAGTTGCAATTTTATTGTTCTAAAATAGTATATTATTTGACCCTTGCTTTATGAATTGTTTTAATTTTTGTTTCAGTTTGTTTGTCCCGACGATAAATTCAAGTGCACTGGCCCTGACATATGCTTCCCAGTGTCTTGGCTTTGTGATGGCATCGTCGACTGTCTAGACAGCAGCGACGAGTCTTCGTGTCCCAGCACCGCGACGCCCTTCTCCGTCTCTCCAGCCACGCCGCCACCACCCACACCACCCACCTTACCCCATACGAAAACAACTCGATCCCCTTCATTCATTCCAACTCCTCCAACACCGCCATCCACCTTTCCCCTCCCGCCAGCCCCTTTCCCATTTCCTGCCGCGGGACCAACGTCATTCGCCTCTCCTCACCATTTTACCCCATCGTCAACAACGCCTTCACCGTATCGAATGCATGCACTTCCTCAAGCATTACCAGTAACGTGGCCTAGTCCATTCCAGTTCCTCCCTCAGAGTTTAACAGCGTCCTCAGCAACGCACCCGCCCCTCACTTTGACCGACAATGCACTTGTATACCCAACACCCTCCCTAACGGCAAGCTTTTTAACACTCAATCCTCCTAAGGTAAAGGTCGAGTTATTGGTTTATTGTTATTTCAATAGTAGGATAAACAAAGTGAGTTGGAGAATCCATCTTACAAATGAAAACCATTTAACAATACTTATCACAAGAATTACTCGGCCCTTTCTCTTGTTTAGATAGTAGTTTTTGTAACTATGTGCACAATAGTACAAAAATTGCAGTTATAAGCAATTAGATAGTAGAAATTTGTACTATTCACTTTACAGAGTCGGAAAAATGAAGCTAAAAAAATATTTAAATATTCCTAGTATAGCACACAGTATAGTAGGTATCCATCAGTCACAGGAGACTATGGAGTTGCGCTCTATAGCACACACATGTACTATATTAGGCCTCATATATCGAGTATTAGGCCTAGGAAGGTTATGTTAGTTTAATTTGTCTTTGCAACACAAGTAGAAAATAGTTTTCCGGTTTGTCCAACTCTGTAGTGTCGATTTCTACTTTCGTTGTACGTCGGCATATATACGGCATAGTACTTCTAGTAACGGCATCGTTACTAGAAGTACTACGAAAACAAGAGGATGGGCTGAATTAGTATTAACGACAGAGTTAGATAAAAAAGTACTTGTAAAATGTTCAGGTTTTAAATGCATGCAAATAAATAAAAATTGGCCTTAAAGAAACGCATATAATTTGTGCAACATGAAAAGATTCTTCAATATTTTATGTATATTATATAATATATGTAAATCAACTTCAAACCCAGAGAACTATAAATATTGTTAGAATATAAATTACCATCATATGCTCCATTTCGGGAGTTGCAAAGAGATTTAAAATAATTGTTTGAATTCTTCAAACGTTGTGAGTAAATATGTTTAAAATATTTATAGAAGATAGTCTCGAGAAGCTAAATAGCTGAGTTAATTTTATAGTACATCTGTAGCAAAGAAATAATGACATAGGAGGATAGAAGTAGCCTAAACTACTCTATATCCTTTTTGAGATGTGTTTTATAGTCTAAGTACATTTACTTGACTAAATGTGTGTTTATCGTCCATGACAGGCGGAGTGTGCGGGCAACATGTTCCAGTGTGTCAGTAGTGGCAGGTGTCTGTGGCCCATATTCATCTGCGATGGTTTCAACCACTGTGGGGATGGTAGTGACGAGGATAACTGTTCTCTGGTAGGTCAAGTGGGACTAGAGTCGACAGGTATCCATGCAAGTCGCTTTTGTTTCCTTTATATCTGTACATACCTTAAACATTGTGTGTATTGGGGGCGGGGTTGAAGCAGTGTTCGCTATGTGATTGAAATTTGCGTCTTTTTCCGAAAAAAAAAATTATTTTCTTCCTTTTGGTTATCGCTTATCGTGCCTGAAAATTCCACGAGCTAGTTTGAGTTGCGTTTAGGGAAATGTATTTTCTTTCGTGGGTTTGTTGCAGTAATTGCAGACATGTCTCTTCAGAGCGCCACCTTCCTTCTTGGATGCAGGAGCAAGCAGTATCCATATGGTTTCGAGACTGACGACTCTCTGCTATGGTGCATCCTTTACATGCTATCAAACATTTGTTCAGTCTCCCAGCCAAATAAATTCGTTGGACGATATTCCTTTATTTTGTTAAGTAATCCAGTTGAACTGCAATTGAAATGAACGAGATCATGGCAGTAAACTGTTCAGACTGAATGTTAGCATATTCTTCTTCGTCATTACCTCCTCCCTTTTCTCTTTCCCCTCTTTCTTCCTCCTCTCCTTCTCTTCCACCATTCTACTTACCTGACTACCTGTTGTTGGTTCCAGAGATCAAAGAAGCTCGGTCTCTGACCTGGCCTCTTGTTTGGTAGTCAGGTTAACCAGGTTGTTGGACGCAGCTGCTCGCAGCCTGACGTATAAATCACAGCCTGGTTGATCAGGTATCCTTTGGAAGCATTTATCACGTTCTCACTTGCACACCATGGGAAGCCGGTCAGTTATGTCCCTTATGTGAAGAGGGAGAGTGTTGAAAACTATTTGACCTGGATAATAATAGTTCGCTCTCAGCGTACCTCCTGCTCCTCTGTTATTCAACGGACTGTTTGCACATCCTGCCATGTCTTCTGGTTTCGTGTGTAGTTATTTCCTTGAACTGATTTGGAACCAGTCTCGCTCATTTGTTGACCAGACCACACTAGAAGGTGAAGGGACGACGAGACGTTTCGGTCCGTCCTGAACCATTCACAATCGACTTGAGAATGAGAATGGTCCGGGACGAACCGAAAAGTCTCGTCGTCCCTTCACCTTCTAGTGTGGTCTGGTCAACATACTTTAGCCACGTTATTGTGACTCATCGCCCGCTCATTTCTCTTCCTTCTTCCTTCCTTCCTTCCTTCCTTCCTTCCTTCCTTCCTTCCTTCCTTCCTTCCTTCCTTCCTTCCTTCCTTCCTTCCTTCCTTCCTTCCTTCCTTCCTTCCTTCCTTCCTTCCTTCCTTCCTTCCTTCCTTCCTTCCTTCCTTCCTTCCTTCTTCCTTCCTTCCTTCTTGCCCTTCCTGCACGACCGTCAGTATGGCAACTCGAGAGCATTCCAGGCCACTTCTTCTCCCCCGTTCCAGCCTACAGTGAGAGCCTGCACGGCCGACCAGCACCGGTGTGCGGACAGCGGCGCCTGCGTCATGCGTTACTACGTCTGTGACGGCTTCTTCGACTGTGCTGACGACTCTGACGAGAAGGACTGTGATAACATCCCCCGCCAGCAGCTGCCCTCCACCGAGACACCCGCCGCCCACACCGCCGCCCACACCGCAGCCCACACCGCAGCCCACACCGCAGCCCACTCTACCACTAACCTGCCACAGTTCACCATCATTACCCAGAACGTTAGTTTGCTTACATGTATTTAAAGTATGTGGATCCTCATTGTTCAGAGAGAAACAAGATTTGCATCGTATGTAAATTTTGCTGCTCATTTCTGATTAAATTGTTTATATAATTGTTAAATAGCAGAGGGTCCAGGGCAGAACCCTGGGGGAGGGGGGGGGGGGTATATTCTCTAATGTAACTTAGGGTAATATTCCCTTCAATACCGTGCATATCTGCCTTACTAATGGACTCAGATTTAAAGGGTCTGCTAAACTCTAGAAATATAATGTTTATTCATTTCACTTTTTGTCTAGAGTGAGAGTAAAAGTGTTATACAAGAGCTACAGTAATAAAACCATGCTGTACGTTATGACATCTTTAACAGCTACATGGTTTTTATGATGTAAATGAGTAGCCTTTGCGGAGATCATTTCAAGCATAATTTTCCCACAATGAATGATACGTTAATTCAACTTAAGTGGTCTCAAATTAAATTAACTCAAAATAGATAAAATGAACTCATACATAGTGATATGGATAGGTGTATTATTTCATAAGAAAAAAAAAGAAAAATGTATAAATTCAGGAAAACTTGGCTTATTAGGCAAATCGGGTCTTGCATAGTAGGCCGAGTACGACGTTCTGGCTACTAGGTACAACATATATATTATAATACATATATATATATATATATATATATATATATATATATATATATATATATATATATATATATATATATATATATATATATATATATATATATATATATATATATATATATATATATATATATATATATATATATATATATATGCAAACAAGCCTGAATGGTCCCCAGGACTATATACAACTGAAAACTCACACCCCAGAAGTGACTCGAACCCATACTCCCACAACTGGTATGTACAGGGACGCCTTAATCCGCTTGACCATCACGACCGGACATAAGGAAGTGATAGCCGAGGCTATATGAACCACTTCCCCGCCGGCACTCGGATGGTAATCTTGGGCATAGCATTTTATCAAATCACCTCATTCTTTGGGGCACACGTGAGGAACACAAATGCAAACAAGCCTGAATGGTCCCCAGGACTATATACAACTGAAAACTCACACCCCAGAAGTGACTCGAACCCATACTCCCACAACTGGTATGTACAGGGACGCCTTAATCCGCTTGACCATCACGACCGGACATAAGGTGTGCCCCAAAGAATGAGGTGATTTGATAAAATGCTATGCCCAAGATTACCATCCGAGTGCCGGCGGGGAAGTGGTTCATATAGCCTCGGCTATCACTTCCTTATGTCCGGTCGTGATGGTCAAGCGGATTAAGGCGTCCCTGTACATACCAGTTGTGGGAGTATGGGTTCGAGTCACTTCTGGGGTGTGAGTTTTCAGTTGTATATAGTCCTGGGGACCATTCAGGCTTGTTTGCATTTGTGTTCCTCACGTGTGCCCCAAAGAATGAGGTGATTTGATAAAATGCTATGCCCAAGATTACCATCCGAGTGCCGGCGGGGAAGTGGTTCATATAGCCTCGGCTATCACTTCCTTATGTCCGGTCGTGATGGTCAAGCGGATTAAGGCGTCCCTGTACATACCAGTTGTGGGAGTATGGGTTCGAGTCACTTCTGGGGTGTGAGTTTTCAGTTGTATATAGTCCTGGGGACCATTCAGGCTTGTTTGCATTTGTGTTCCTCACGTGTGCCCCAAAGAATGAGGTGATTTGATAAAATGCTATGCCCAAGATTACCATCCGAGTGCCGGCGGGGAAGTGGTTCATATAGCCTCGGCTATCACTTCCTTATGTCCGGTCGTGATGGTCAAGCGGATTAAGGCGTCCCTGTACATACCAGTTGTGGGAGTATGGGTTCGAGTCACTTCTGGGGTGTGAGTTTTCAGTTATATATATATATATATATATATATAAATATATATATATATATAATATAATATGAGGAGACAAAATATATTTGAAGCATAAAATAACTGAAATATACGTCAACGTGAACATGACAGGTTCCTGTGGCGGTCGGACCTTGCGTGCCAGAGCTGGGTCAGTTCCTGTGTGGGCGAGGCGACGCCTGTCTGGCCTCCTCGGTCGTGTGTGACGACCAACCAGACTGCAGCGACGGCTCCGACGAGGGACCCGCCTGCGGTGAGTGCCCGACTGGGCCCCGGGGAGCAGAGGGTTGGGAGGGGAGAATCTTCAGTAGGATAGAGAGAAGCAAAGGTAGGGAGAGGTGTTGAGGAAAATGGGTGGAATGAAAAAGGCGTTGGGGAGAAAGCTAGGCAGAGAAGAAGAGGGGGAAGGAACATGGAACGAGAGAGCAAGCAGCTTCTCTTTGAAAAAACACTTCGACGAGAGGAATGAAATCCAGGAGAGTCTGGAAAGGGTGGAATGGAACGTAAAAAGAAGAAGAAGAGGGTAAAAATGTGCTGATGCTTACCTGGATATGCACCCATTGCCGAGCCTCATCTCCCACCCCCACCTTTTAAACTCTCAATTAGTAATTTCAAGCAATCTCTCGTTTTTTTCATATATATGCGCATTTAAAGCAACGTAATGAGGTAGCTTCAATAACAGGCCCTTCTGTGTCTGACCATTTTGGACGAAAAACCGCTGAGGACGCAGAGTCCGGTGATCTCAGCGGCTTAGGACGAATGGAGTAATGAGGAGAATCGGATAAGGGCCGCGAGAAGCGTAATTAAATGTGGTATATGAAGCCCAGAACAACTTCTCTTTGATGTCAACAGAAGGCGCTTTCCTGGCCTCTGGGCGTCCCAACCCCTTAAGCGGGGGAGAAGGAATAACGTAGGAAAGAAAGGAAATTTTAAGGAGGAGAATTACGTATAGAAAGAGATGAGAAAAGTGGTTTGGATGAAGGAACTAGGACGGGGACATCATGGATGGCGTTAGCTAGGGACGTCATAGATGTCACTGAATCAGGAAAGGGCCAAGCAAATGGCATTTGCTTGGCCCTTGGTTTAGTATAAACCAAGAAGCAATCGATAACTAATGCCAGTGGAATGCAGAACCTGTTAGAAGTGGAGTGTGTGTATACCAGAGTGGATCTTAAATATGCGTGTCCTCCCTCCTTACAGGTGTCCAGTGCCCCAGCTCCACCTGCAGCCACGGCTGCTTCGTCACCCCCTCCGGCCACCAGTGCACCTGTCCAACCAATTTCTTCCTCCTCGACGACGACGCTACGTGCAAAGGTGAGTCTCGGGACACCATCTTCCATGACTGGTAATGTTTGAGTGTCAACTTTATGGATGTTGGTTTTCTGTCCACGGGTACGGGCACCCATGACAGGAGTGACAGTTCCCGTGGACAGTAAGAAGTCATCAAGCCTTCTCTGTGCCCCTCAATACCATTTACGTCAATACCAAACGATAAGCAAGTCACATATATTTAACCAACTGACTATATATCAATTTGTGTGTCTAAGCTGCCAATTTTTCGCCACTCTGTAATTAAGCTGACACTCTTCTAAACACCCATTTGCAACTAGCCAAGCTGACGCTCTTATCTTGTAATTAAGCAAGCTGACACCCCTCTCATCTCCCTGTGTAAATAAATAAGCTGTCAAGCTTACACATCACGGTATAACTAACCAAGCTGACGATCATCCAGAGGGGCCGCCTGATGCTTTCCTGCTGCTGACGCTCGGCCGACGCCTGGAGGCGCGCTCTCTGGATGGTACAAGGAGCTTTACCATTGTGGCCAACAGAGATGCTGAGATGGTAAGTAGATAGTGGGTGATGGTGGGTGATGGTGGGTGATGGGAGCCCTTGGGAGTGGGTGGACGTTATGGTGGGTGTTGTTAGTGGTACTGGTCGCGGGTGATTTATTAGTAGTGGGTAGGTGGTGACGTTAGTGGGGATGGTAATGAAGGTGGTGGTAGGTTATATCAGTGGTAGTGGAGGAGTGTGTATGGTGGTTGTGGGGTGTAGGTGGCATTGACAGGTGGTGGCAGTGACGGTGGTTGTGCAAGCAATAGGGTGATATGGTGGTGGTGAAAAGGGAGGTAGAGGAGACGGTAGGTTATGGTAGATTGGGTAACAGTATTAATTGCGTTACCTGGTGACTGTGGCGACAGCGGCGGCGACGATATGACTGGGCGCCTGAAGTAGCCATGCAGCAAGTACTGGCACAGGAGATACAGTACCCCCGCACACACACACATACAACACACCATTCAGTTATCCAGGTCACCCTAAGCAGGGAGGAGGAATCTGTAAGCACCTCCTGATGCATGTCAACAATACAGTGGAGCCTTGGCCACACGGTGGAGCCTTGGTCACACGGTGGAGTCTCGGTCACACGGTGGAGCCTCGGTCACACGGTGGAGCCTCGGCCACACGGTGGAGCCTCGGTCACACGGTGGAGCCTCGGCCACAAGGTGGAGCCTCGGCCACACGGCGGAGCCTCGGTCACACGGTGGAGCCTCGGCCACACGGCGGAGCCTCGGCCACACGGTGGAGCCTCGGCCACACGGTGGAGCCTCGGTCACACGGCGGAGCCTCGGTCACACGGTGGAGCCTCGGTCACACGGCGGAGCCTCGGTCACACGGTGGAGCCTCGGCCACACGGTGGAGCCTCGGTCACACGGTGGAGCCTCGGCCACAAGGTGGAGCCTCGGTCACACGGCGGAGCCTCGGTCACACGGTGGAGCCTCGGCCACACGGTGGAGCCTCGGCCACACAGTGGAGCCTCGGCCACACGGTGGAGCCTCGGTCACACGGTGGAGCCTCGGTCACACGGTGGAGCCTCGGCCACACGGTGGAGCCTCGGCCACACGGTGGAGCCTCGGCCACACGGTGGAGCCTCGGTCACACGGTGGAGCCTCGGCCACACGGTGGAGCCTCGGCCACACGGTGGAGCCTCGGTCACACTGCGGAGCCTCGGTCACACGGTGGAGCCTCGGTCACACGGCGGAGCCTCGGTCACACGGTGGAGCCTCGGCCACACGGTGGAGCCTCGGTCACACGGTGGAGCCTCGGCCACACGGTGGAGCCTCGGCCACACGGTGGAGCCTCGGTCACACGGCGGAGCCTCGGTCACACGGTGGAGCCTCGGCCACACGGTGGAGCCTCGGTCACACGGTGGAGCCTCGGCCACACGGTGGAGCCTCGGCCACACGGTGGAGCCTCGGTCGCACGGCGGAGCCTCGGTCACACGGTGGAGCCTCGGTCACACGGCGGAGCCTCGGTCACACGGTGGAGCCTCGGCCACACGGTGGAGCCTCGGTCACACGGTGGAGCCTCGGCCACAAGGTGGAGCCTCGGCCACACGGCGAAGCCTCGGTCACACGGTGGAGCCTCGGCCACACGGCGGAGCCTCGGCCACACGGTGGAGCCTCGGCCACATGGTGGAGCCTCGGTCATACGGTGGAGCCTCGGTTACACGGTGGAGCCTCGGCCACACGGTGGAGCCTCGGTCACACGGTGGAGCCTCGGTCACACGGTGGAGCCTCGGTCACACGGTGGAGCCTCGGCCACACGGTGGAGCCTCGGCCACACGGTGGAGCCTCGGCCACACGGTGGAGCCTCGGTCACACGGTGGAGCCTCGGTCACACGGTGGAGCCTCGGTCACACGGTGGAGCCTCGGTCACACGGTGGAGCCTCGGTCACACGGTGGAGCCTCGGCCACACGGTGGAGCCTCGGCCACACGGTGGAGCCTCGGTCACACGGTGGAGCCTCGGCCACACGGTGGAGCCTCGGTCACACGGTGGAGCCTCGGTCACACGGTGGAGCCTCGGTCACACGGTGGAGCCTCGGCCACACGGTGGAGCCTCGGCCACACGGTGGAGCCTCGGTCACACGGTGGAGCCTCGGTCACACGGTGGAGCCTCGGCAATCTCGGGGATTCACTGCATGAACGTGGAATCTGAATAATGCAGATGACCATCATTCCGAGCTTTCAATTTTCCTCTCTTTAAATCTTTATTTCTTTCAAATTTCCTCTCTTTAAATCTTTATTTCTTTCAATTTTTCCTTTTCTTTAGCTCTTTCATTTTTTATCATTTTCTTTAGCTCTTTCATTTTTATTTTCTTTATTATTCCTTCAACTTTTTTATTCCATACTTTTTTATTTCTTTCATCCTCTAACCATTCATTAATTCATTCTATATTTTTTCCCTTCCCTTTTTCCTTTATTTTTCTCTCATTCTCTCCTTATATGTATCAGTCCTCCCGTTTCCATCTTTGTTTCCTTCGTTCCTTCCTTGCCCTCTTCCTCATCCTCTCTTCATTTCTCTCTATTTTTTTTCTTCTCGGGAATTTTAGGCCCCATTTTACTCGTCAGATATTTGGAGATTTTTATTTTCATATTCCATTTTTGGTTACATTTTGAAAATGGAATGAGTCTAGGGCATCTAGAGTGATGGTGCCTGTTGGGGCTGGCACTGACCTAACACTGGCACCTACATTGTTGTTCTGGGCGAGATATCAGTGTTATAGAGTTATGTTCTTCATGGAGGTGTAGGTTGGTGGGTGGGTGAGAGGGAGAGAGAGAGAGCCAGAGACAGAGAGGGAGGGGGATGAAGGCAGACGTGAGCACATCGCGGGTACACTGGAAAAAAGTTTGATTCGTCGGTCACTCCGAAGAACCAGCTGTTCGACATGCAAGTAAGGCAGCGAAGACGCCTGAAGCACTTAGGCATCATATCTCATACGTGTTGCAAATCTTGACTTCGAAGCACACAAGCTGTATCTTGAGTGTGCTTTATGATCTTCGATGCCTTGGCCCCCTTATCTTTTAATCCAATTTAAGGACTAGGCGAAAACTGTGCAGGACGACTCGTCTTAGGCTAGGCTGGATCAAGTCTCTCTGGACTTAAGAGTTCAAAAAATGATATTCGAATATTGAAGAAATGTTGGCAGCCATATATCTATGTACAGGTACAATGTTCGCACTTGCCCGACTTATTGGACACTTAAAGGGGCGGCATTTACAACTAAAGGCGCTCAGCTTGCTTTAGCTTCACCCCTACTGCATCATTCTCATAAAACATCCCAAAATCTGGAATTATTTATTCATTTCTTAGTTGACTCCCACTTGATAAGTAAAGTTGTTTGTTGTTTAAGATTCGCCACCTGGAACAAAAAGTTCCAAGTAGCACGAGCTATGGTGAGCCCGTAGTTTGGCGATATAAATATTGCCCAACAATAAAATACATATCTATAAACGGTTATTAGGGCTAATAATCTGCAGTATTCATATATTAACATGATTGTTAATCCTTCTGAACTCTGGGTTTAGTGTAAAAATAGATGAAAAGATATGCAAAGAGGGAGAGAGAGAGATAGAGAGAAGAGCAAGAACAGAAGACAATAGTCTGGTGAAAAGTGTAGTGTTTTGCCTCCCGTCCAAAAGAAATTGTATCCATACATATGCATGTTTTCTGTGACGTGAGCTGAGGGGTTCCAAAATGGTTTTCAACTGCCCGACATATTGCCTGAGGGTAGGCTTGGCTCCCCATCCTTCTATACCACACCTCTTCACCGCACGCGCACGCACACACACGCACGCACGCACGCACGCACGCACACACACACACACAGTGTGGAAAAAATTAGCTACAATTGAGAGGCGGGCCGCTACCGCCAGCCACTACCGGAACCGGGACAGCTTCAACAGGGCCAGCCACCATCACAACAGCCCCAGCATCTGCAGGAGCCCCAAGCACACCAGGAACAACCTTGTCAGCGGAAGACGACTCCGCGGAGTCATCCATATCCGCCCAGGCCTCACCACGACTGGGGGGGGGGGGAGGGGACACGCTTCGGGCGCTTCGAAACTGGACCCACGTCCTCGGAACTTTCTGGCCCCTCCACAGACGCTGCACTAAGAACACTGAGAGGCTGCACAGGGCCCTGCACAGACCGACTCCGCAACACCTCAGCCGCCGGGGGCACCGGACCGCACACTAACGAAGATTGTGACACATGGACTTCCACTGGGACACTCACAGCACGAGGCAACGAGACACCACAACCCGCCGGGGAGACAGTCGCCGGGGGAGGAGGGGATACCTCAGCAGGAAGGGAGGGACCAGGGCGAGACCACCCCCGACCACCCCATCATCGCCACACACAGGCACCAGGGGAGCAGCAGACCCAGGGCAGGCAGGCAACACACGCACAAGAACATCCGACGCTGGAGACACATCCACACCCGCAGCACACGCTGAGGCCTCCGGGACCTCCAAAGGAGGGAAGTCGACTTCAGTAAACAGATTCACCTCTCCTGTAGGCCGGGCACGACACATTGCAGCAACATGGCCCGGCAACCCGCACTGAAAACAAGTGCGTGGTTGCCGAGCATAGAAGAACTTGAGACGCCAGCCGAGGAGCTCCAAAGAAGAAGGAATGGCATCCATCATATGCATTGTCAAGGTCCGGACCCCGTTACGGACACCTCTGCGGCCGGCCAGAAGTAAGCCTGTTGTCCCGTCGAGACAGGACACGCCCACACCTGCTGAAAAACCTCGTAAAGAGATCAGCCGGGAATTAAAAGGGAACACTATGGAGACTCACAAAGGTTGGCGGTGAACATCGATCGGAGACAGTGACAGTTCCGGCATTTCCAGACAGCAGCCGGGCGCGGCCCTCGACTTCTTCACAAAGGCCGAGTAGACAGCGGTCGACAGGAACTTCCCCACCACACGGCGGTCTGAAATCTTCTCAAGTCCACAGATACCAGCGACGTCCACACAAAGGACGTCCAGTAAAGCCACCACAATGAGAGGCCAGTCCGCCAACGCCGAAAACTCCAGACCAGCAGAATCCACACGCTGAACAGTTTGCAATGGCAATGCCATCACTCCGGCTGAGACCCCAACTCTAGGACTCTCACTATTCCACACGTAACCAGCTAATCACCACGCACGCAGGCCAACGGCCAACGCCATATTAATGATGGGGTTTGGGGAGGTCGGACACAAACCGTTAACACAGTCTGAAACGCGAGCACTCTTCATCTTTGTTGTGGACTACCGCAACCGTTTTTAACAAACGATTAGACATCAATATTTATTTATTTATTTAGTAAGTCGTTCTATATAAGCGAAAATGATCATCACAAACTGCCTTTGAGGGTAATACTCACATTCATAATCACGGAATTTTCCCTTCGAGGTCATTATTACTTTTTCCTGTGTATTTTGCTGGGAATTATAAGTGCCGTGCAGATCTTTCGCCTCCTCCTCCTCCCGGCATCATCTAATCCACCTTGTGCGTCTTCCTCCGTCAGCGTGGGGTGTCGTACGATCCTGTGGAGCAGTCGGCGTGTTGGAGCGAGGGGGAGGGAGGTACTGTGTATTGCCAGCGCTTACGCGGCCAGGCTTCGCCCCGCCTCATAGTGAATGAACGTAAGTTGATGTGACTTTCTAGCCATCATTATCATCATGACCAAACCACACATCAGAAAACGGAGAAAGAACGAAGTTTCAGTCCGTCCTGGATCATTATCAAGTCGTGTAAACGACTTGATAATGGTCTAAGACGGACAGAAACTTCGTCATTTCATCATTTTCTGATGTGTGACTGATTCGTCATATCTTCAGTAACGTTATTTTGATTCATCGTCTGCATCATCATCATTATCCCAGCTTCTCGAGCCCATCCACCCTCATTTATCCAGTCTGTTCTCTCGATTTGCAACTGCGTTAAAAATGCAACAGTATTGCCTAACCAAAAACGTATAAAGATTAGCAACCCTTCTTACCTATCGAGGCCGATGCATGGGAAACGTCTATATTCTGCTCCTTTAGTTGTTACTAATACGTCGTATTTTAACGGTTTGGTCGATTCCGCGTAAAATGCGATGTGGATGTAAAATATATAAAAGGATGGGTTGATCTATCCTCTTACCCTCTCGCTCCGGCTAGGCAAAGGGTCAATTATCCTAACACCCAATTTAACTTGCCAGTTTAACTTTAACAATTCAACTCGTCCGCGCTCAAAATGCGTATTTAGCGTCCGCAAAACTGCTGAAAATAAATTGTGTGTGTGTGTGTGTGCATTCGTCACTTGGAGACTGATTGCGAAGCACAAATGCATTAGATCGAAATGTCACCTCAGTAGACAAAGTCCATCTGAAGTAGTTTCGTAAAGCTGAAGTAGTTTCATCAAACACTTAATTGCCTACTTACGAAACTTTTACATCTTTTTTCCCAATCAGGGCCACTTATTTATTATTTATTAAACATTGTGGTTTCGAAGCACTTAACAGGTTATCTATAACAATGTTAACTAAAGGTTGCAAGATTTCAGAGCTCGTAAATTGCTCAATAAATACATTTTAAGCTCACCATGATCGAAAAAAAGATATAAGGGTTTAGTTAGTGGACAAGTATATACTCGATGATGTATATACAAGTATATACATCAGCATTAGTAAGTCTACAGATATAGGCAAAGTCCTTCTATTTTGGGCCGAGGTATAGCTAGAGCTAGTGAAAGTCTTTCTTGCCTAGTGAAAGTCTTTCTTGCCTAGTGAAAGTCTTTCTTGCTAGAACAAATGAAAGTCTTTCTTGCTAGAGCTAGTGAATGTCTTTCTTGCTAGTGAGTCTTTCTAGGCTCACTAGCACTTTGTTTTAATGATTTCATAGGTGAAATCATTAAAACAAAATTATAGTAACAATAATTTATATGTTAATACATTAAACAGTAATAATGTGAATAATTATTATTGTATTAATAAATTTAAATCTGAAAGGCCTAATTTATAACAAATTAGACAACACAAAAAATTGTATAAAACGATTTATATGTAAAATTGGTATATTTTTTATATAATTAATACAACTGACGATAACAAAACAATATGAATGTTTTGTTATCGATATTTTCATTGATATTATCATTACTACACAATAATAACGAAACAATGAGGTGTTTACTAACATATCTGGCTAAGTGAAACCGCTGCCAAATACCTTTTTGTGTTTATTAATTTAAATGAGCTAACATGGAAATGCACACTGATAAGCTACAACTGCAAAACAAACAGCTTGAAGCTGTTTTGCTTCCTTGGGCTGAACGGTAGAGCGACGATTTCGCTTCATGCAGGTCGGCGTTCAATCCCCTACCGTCCAAGTGGTTAGGCACCATTCCTTCCCCTCCGTCCCATCCCAAATCCTTATCCAGACCCCTTCCAAGTGTTATATAGTCGTAATGGCTTGGCGCTTTCCCTTGATAATTCCTTCCCTTGTTTTACCAAATGTCATTCTGTAAGTAGACCAGCTTTGATTTTTACAATGTTATGTTATATATATAACATATATATATATATATATATATATATATATATATATATATATATATATATATATATATATATATATATATATATATATATATATATATATATATATATATATATATATATATATATATATATATAACTAGCTATAATGCTTAGCCGAGAAATGCTAGTAAATGCCCCTTTTATAACAGGAACAACATCTTTCAAAATAGTCTCTATGCTAATTCGCCTTAAATGAAGTCACACTAATGATGTGTGTATAATATGAGTCAACCTGACTTGGAACGCTCTTGTGGTTTAAATTATCTGCTTACTTACACATACACACACACCTGGTCGCAGCGCTGGACAGGTATGCGGGGGTGGCTGTCGACTGGATGGGTAGGAACGTGTACGTGACTGACAGCGCCAACGGACGGGTGCGGGCGTGCAGCCTCTCGTCGACGCCCGCATGCGCCACCATCCTCTCCAACCTCATCTTACCCAGGGCGATTCAGCTCGACCTCAGTCAAAGGTTTGGCGTCTCAGTTTCACTAGTGATGAATATATAAATAATATATATATTTTTTGGTATTGTGGGCTATGCATTTTTAGTATATATAGTCCACTATATCCTAACAAGCGTGAGCTACCCCCGTGCCCCACACTTGTCAGAATATATTGGTGATTGTACGATTGTGTTTATAAGGGGGCACTCAGTCGCGAAGACTAGGGTATGCAGCACTCAAGGGAGTCAATTTCTGGGCTTCCTCTTGTGCTCTCATATTGTCGTCGCGTATATCCCCTTATATAATTGTAATTTACTTATATATTATGATAATTACCAATATTATGCACATTTATCTGTAGTAATCATAATTTTTATTCTTGTTGCTTGTTATTTTCTTATTCTTTTATTGCTTGTTATTTGCCATTCATTAACAAGATGTTTGAGTTGTTGAATTGTTAATAAGATGAAAGCGCCGGCCTCAAGCCCCAAATGCATCATATTATAGGAGTGATTCATAACAGGATGATGTACTGGATCGGTGGGGAGATGAGTCCTGTCATATACCGAGCGGGTATGAATGGCTCAGGTTTTGAGCAGGTGGTTCCCGGGTACGACTTCCCGGTTTCCAGGCCTTCCGCCTTGGCAGTCGACCTCCAGGGTCATTACCTCTACTGGATCGACAGCGACACTCAGGTTGAACGCCTCAGCTACGATGGAGAATATTATCCGGTAAGTGTTGTTCAGTTCGACAACTACTGTTATTTCTGCTTTCACTCTACTGCGTCTAATTCTTCTACTTCTTCTGCTTCATTAGAATTATTCAGCGAGAACTGTTACTAATTAATGTTATTTTTGTTATAATGCTAGAACTAAAATATGTGATGCAGTGCGAGAGATGGAAAGTAACAGGTGGAGTGCTTGAGGATGTTGTCCTAGAACCTTTGTTGTTCATAGTGCACATCAGTGATGTTAATGCGCTGAATACGGAAAAAAGTTTATCTGGAGAAGATACAGGAATAGGGCGCACTACACATTCAAAGAAAGATTCTAGGGAAGTACAGGAAGATCTCAATAAACTTCAGATTTGTATGGATAAGTGTCAAATTTAATCAATTGTAGATAAATTCCATTTTGGGGGTTTGGAAAAAGACAGATACACTAGATATCCGCTCAGAAATGTGAATATTTGGGTAAGGTGTTTACGAAACTGATCTGGAGAGCAATGATTAGAAAACACCTCAAACCGTCGTCGAAAGCAGAGAAATTCATATTCAACCTTTTCGCTTGACCCAAGACAGAAATCGGCAAGGACCACAACGCAGATTTTGCCAGATAAGGTTATATTATGTATTGTCTGGAGTCATGCGGACCAACTCCCTCATCAGAAGATGAAGAAACGTCACAAGTCATAGTTTTTTTTAATCCCTGACGAAGTCGAAGTGAAGGTTGGATCGAAAAGCCAGATTCTTGGGGCTAGCTTCACCCAAATTTGTAGGTTAATGGTCTGGGGGTATGGAAGGGACATGGTCTGGTTAGGGTAAGCCTAAATTAAATGCATTAAGGAATATTAACAATTATATATAATTAACACCGTTTAGGCCATTTTCGGGGAATCAAGTGTAAAATATTAAGTGTGTGATTAATATGAAGATTTTGCCATTCTGAGAGAAGTGAAAGTAGGGGAAGGGAGATAGATAGAAAATTTCGAGAGACAAATGGATAGATATATTGAGAGGGAAGAGGGGGGAAAGGAAGAGAAGGAGGAGAGGGACAAAAAGGGTGACCAAGGGTATAAGGATGAGGGGGGTCAAAGGTCAGGAGTGAAGAGGGTGGAAAGATTGAGAAGAGACCCGGATGCAGCTGGTTACCTCATCTATATAAATAAAACACCAGCGTGTTCCTTCGCTGCTTCCTTCCGTCTTTGATAACTAAGGTAGCTGAGTACTCCTTCTACTTGCACAGAAAGAAATGTTTCTCTGTTCGAGGGTGGAGGGTAGAGGGTGGGGAGATTGAGGGAGGGTGGAGATTGGAGAAGGAGAAATGGAGATGAGAGAGATGGAGGAGAGGGGAAGGGGTAGGAAGAGACACCGTGCAGCTGGGTATCTTGGCTACGAAAGGAGAGGAAACGAGGAAGAGTTTAACTCCCTAGAAGAGAAGATTGGTCACACACATTCAAACTACAAGTGTTGATCTAACAAAATTATTTCATAATATTGCCAGTAAGTTTGGCCATTTTTGTAACGCAATAAATATCGAGTAGATGCTTTTCTTTATTTAATCAGTTTTTCCTCTAATTATTTGTATGAATATAATAAGCAAAATTTGACAGAAAAAGTTGTCTGATTGGTCAGAACAAATAATAATAAACTCTGTGGCCGTCCTCGTGAAGCAATATAACAATGTTCTCGAAATGTGTTTTCGCAAGACGACTAAGCAAATAAGTTGTTTTCCTAATCGCCCACGAATTATTCGCTCGGCATGCTTTGTGAATGAAGTTAATTTGGTATGCATCGAAATTCGTAAGAGCAAGCAACATGCCTTGTTCTGCGGTGAATCACCCAGAGATGCACTGCTTGTAAAGATTGCAAATATGTAACTCATTGCTCTAAACACGACCAACATCTCTTTCAACCCTCAGACCCGGGTGAAAATGTATGACCTGCAAAGACTCGGCGAGATTTTGTTTCTAAAAGTCATGTAAACATGACGGTATCTTTCCTTGTAGGCCTTCTCCTTCTCTTCAAGGAAAGGTGTTCTCTACTCTTTTCTGGATGTGTTGTCACCCGATAAAAAATGTAATTTGAGAATATTCTCTCTCGCATTTCTCTCTATTTATTTAACCGTCACTGTAGCCCACATCATTGCACAGGTCTATCATAACACACTGCATGGTTTAGGGTCCATCAACCGCAGGAGGGTTATTAAACCCTCCACAACGGCTTGCTGAACCACCAGTAAGTATACTTTAATCTTGGACATAGTTCAGAACTAAAGTAACCTCTCGGTGTATATTCACTGAGAAGCTAAATGACCTTTCGGTACGTTTGTTCCTGCCGAGCGAAAATTTGTTCATCAATGAAGGCTATTTTCAGTTCAGCTCCATGAAAGGGGGGGGGGGGAGCTCTCTCTCTCTCTCTCTCTCTCTCTCTCTCTCTCTCTCTCTCTCCTCTCTCTCTCTCCTCTCTCTCTCTCTCCTCTCTCTCTCTCTCTCTCTCTCTCTCTCTCTCCTCTCTCTCTCTCTCTCTCTCTCTCTCTCGTCTCTCTCTCTCTCTCTCTCTCTCCTCTCTCTCTCTCCAGAGAAGGCTCTCTCTCTCTCTCTCATCTCTCTCTCTCTCTCTCTCCTCTCTCTCCTCTCTCTCTTCTCTCTCTCCTCTCTCTCTCTCTCTCTCTCTCTCTCTTCTTTCTTCTTTTCCTTCTCTTTTCTTTCTTTTCTTTCTTTCTTCTTTCTCCTCCCCCCGCATTATCAAGATTTCTCGCCTCGTCTGTGCGTCCCTCAATAATAAAGACCAGTATGGTGCGTCTTTTATAGGTAGGGGCGTCGCTGGAAAACGCGAGGATCCATGACATGACACTGTGGCAAGATAAACTCTACTGGACAGACAACCTCAGGCAACAGGTAGGTGTGTTACTGCTGTATTCGCTTTAGTGCCACTGTTATTGCATTAGCTAGTGAGTGCCATTTGAAGCCAGTCTTGGCACTGACCCGACTGCTGAGCTGGTGTAGCAGGATTTACTAACAGATTCTTCTATAACTTGAGGCCCGTTCCTACTTCCTCTTCCTCTGACGTAGGTGATGACGTGTAGCAAAAACAACTGCGGAGACGCTCAGCCTCTTCAAGCCTTCGCCGACCCCATCAGTCCCAACTCCTGGATCGCCCTTCACCACCCGGACAACTATGGACAGGTGTGTTGATGCGACTTGGGCCAAATGGGCTGATCAGTTACTGGTGCTGATATAGTAGACCTGTGAGAACAGTCTACCCCATGAAGCAAGATACGACGATGTCTCCTTCTGCTTGATGATCAGTCGTGCAGTCACGACGATGTCTCACCACTTTCTTATCCATCCCTACAGGTGGTGAACCCTTGCGGCTACACCTCCTGCAGCCACCTGTGCCTCCTGTCCCCAGAAGCGGCCTTGGGTTTTGTCTGCGCTTGTCCCGATCATCTTGCACTCGGTGACGACTTCATCACCTGCCGCTCCAACTCGAACTTCCATGACACCTACTCGTTCCTGGGATAACCTTCCCTGGGCCTCTCGGCTCCCAGGAAGTCATTTCTCAATCTCTCTGTCTCCACCAACGTGATACAATTCCACTGCTGGCTTTAAACCCGTGACACATTACCTTTGGAACCCCCCCTCTCCCTGATATTGCATTGCGTTCCTACTGCACTCAGAGATCAAAACAGTCTTTGTAAGACCAACAGGTGACGACGACGACGACGGGTTTTGAAGATCCTGAACCTTGAAGCTGGACAAGCGTGTGCGGCACACCCTTGTATAACACCCGCCGCTACAATATGCTGACCTATCAGATGCACAGTGGCTTACAGAAGTTCAGAACTACATTATGAGCGCCGCGGTAATATGGCTTCATAAATTGCCCAGCTGTATAAAACTGTAAGCGATGTTTATCGGCATAAAACTACAAGAACTGCACAACGAAGTGACATAATTTATTGCTGATGCGCGTGTGTTGTGAGGTAATTATTGGGAGGAAGAGCAAAGCCAGTTCGACTACCTAGCCCTAGGAAGGGATAGGAGGACAAGGATCCGGGATAGGGCGAAAGGAATAGGCCAAACAACTTGGACCATCGGAGATAGAGCTTAGACCTGCAAGATGCAAGGCCGCCGCTATACCGATCAATCAAAGTGGTTTGCGCGGGTTGAACACATTAATGTTGCGTCACGAGTTCCGATATTAGTCCTTGGAAAAAATATTGAATTTTTGCCTTTTCTTTGTTGTATATCGTGTTTTAGATATATTGAGGATATATTACGAACTTATATATTTAGTTGTTCTTAATCTTTTTCGGTATATTAAGTTGTTCAGTTTAGATTTATATGGATTTATACACACACACACACACACATAGGGGCCTGGTAGCCTGGTGGATAGCGCGCAGGACTCGTAATTCTGTGGCGCGGGTTCGATTTCCGCACCAGGCAGAAACAAATGGGCAAAGTTTCTTTCACCCTGAATGCCTCTGTTACCTAGCAGTAAAAAGGTACCTGGGAGTTAGTCAGCTGTCACGGGCTGCTTCCTGGGTGTGTGTGTGTGTGTGTGTGTGTGTGTGTGTGTGTGTGTGTGTGTGTGTGTGTGTGTGTGTGTGTGTGTGTGTGTGTGTGTGTGTGTGTGGTGTGGGGAAAAAAAGTAGCTAGTAAACAGTTGAGAGGCGGTGTGTGTGTGTGCGTGTATAATAACATACCCGCACACACACACACACACACACACACACACACACACACACACACACACACACACCACACACACACACACACATCCACACACACACACACACACACATACACGCACACACACACACACA